CATGCACTCTACCACCAAGCTATAGCCCCCACCCCCGTTGTTGTATTTTAAAATTGTCTTCATTCCATATCCCTGAGTTTGTGAGTAGAAGAGGAGCAGAAAATACCAGCCCAAATATATACCACTTTGGCATATTGATTATTTTGAACTAGCTTATGATGAAATAAAATTTATATTTTAAGGCAAGACAAGAAAAAAATTAAACATAAAATTCTCTGTGCTCGTTTGGGCCCCCTCCCTCCCTCTCTAATGTGCAGTGTGTATTTTCATTACACTGCCTCAAAGATGGGAGTGCTTATTCAAGCTTAAAAATCTTTTTTTTTCTTTCTTCTGACACTAGCAATGTAAAAAAAGAATACGGTCTTTCCCTGCTCATAGGGGGTGATGCTTACCTGGACTACGTGTCCTTGGTGAACTTTATGGAAATATCAGTATGTCATTTTGATGTACGATCTTTTGTCTCGAAAATGTATTTGGCTGTGCCTTTCACTTGTAACAGGTAGAAGAGTTCTCAGAGCTTTCTGAGAATCTGCTTCCCAGGGTTATTACAATCCTCAGTTTGGCTGGAATAAAATACCCTTTTTTCTTCTTAACTTCAGAGTTAATTGAATTTTAATCGACAGTTTCTTAAGAAGGACATTCTGACCCTCCTTTGTCTCCCTGAAAGCAGGAAATAAATCTCCCATGTCAAAGGTACCCTCCCTGTACCAGGAGGGTAGAAGGCATCCTTAATACCAGAGATAGGGAATTTAAGGCCGAGAAAGCTGTGTAAAGAAACCTTCTACTTCATTAATTTACTACCCCAAGCCCAAACTTTTGCCATGTCTGTTCTTCAAAAATGTATTGTTTCGGTAAACAAGTTTCTTCTGTATAGCACAAGGAACTATGTTCAATATCTTGTAGTAACCTACATTGAAAAGGAATATGAAGAATATATGTATATTCATGTATGACTGAAACATTATGCTGTACACCAGAAATTGACACAACATTCTAAACTGATTATACTTCAATTAAAAAAAAAGACCTAAATGTGCAAATTTTCTTGGGGCACTTGGTATTATTTTCTTTACTCTGATTAATGTAAGGAAGCAACTAGTTTTTAAGCAGTCCCATAGAATGTAGTAAATATTGTCGTGCCAGCTGGTAACAGCTGAGGCCCTATGACCCCCAAACTTCCAGCCATTAGGCATCTGCCTGTTACTCTTCGAAAGATAAAGAACATCCTTTCCTGAAATGTGTTTGCCTTAGTAGAATTAACAGCCCTGAAAAATGGCTAACCTCACACTAGCTCAGGCTGACTTGTCTCAGACCATGTTTCCCCTTTATCTGAGTCATAAACCTCACTACCTTGCTTGTGTCAGGCCATGTCTCCATCTTATCAGAGTCGTAAATCCCACCACCTTGCCATGTACCAAAGCCCCTTACCTCAATTACAGCCAATCAGAAATCTGCTTCCCTGTGCCTTTATGTTCACAGCCCCCTCCTCAATAAATGACCCTGCACAGTCACCCTCGGTACTCACACAGGCACCTCTCGTCTGTGTGGCCCGCTGTTGTCTATGACAGTGTACCTAATAAACTCCTTTCCTATTTTCACCCTTTGTCTTTGGTGAAGTCTTGTACCACTGGGGCACTGCCCCACCATGTTCCCCAACAAATACTAGCTGCAAAAAATATCCTGCTAATTGTGGGGAGGGCATAGCTCAGTGGTAGAGTACATGCCTAGCATGCACAAGGACCTCCATTAAAAACATTAAATAACCCCCCCCAAAAAATCTTGCTAAGCTCTGTAGATACATATTTATCAGAAATCTGGCCAAGTGGGAGCCTCTGGAGCTGAGGCATGGCCAGAGCCCCTTGGTGGCTCTCTCTTCCTGTTGCTCATCTGCCCAACAGGATTCCACATCACCCCTCCCAACCCTACCCATGCCCTTGGGCCTGCCTCTTACTGGGCTACCTCAGCTGAGCTCCTCCACAGCTACAGGAGAAAGCAGAGCCAGGTGTCCTGTGAGGCTTACTTAATACTGGATATGGTAAAGAATAGGTTGATCACAGAAGATTAGCTGTACACAGCTTTCGCTGTAAACCACATTATTCACTCATGCTATTGAGACATACAAAGGTAGAGGTGGACCTTTTGACTTTAAACAATTTATTAACAAATGCTGTTTCAAACACAACCAATCGGATCATTTTTGGAGAATGATTTGCTTTTGGAGACACCAATTTTCAGCACATGACTGAGTTACTTAGTGCAAATGTGGAACCAAAGGCAAGCACCTCAGTCTTCCAGGATTTCACAAAGCTGTGTTCTCATCTTTAAGCAGGCTCTTCCTTCAACCTCATGCAGAGCTGTTGGCCAAATTCTGTTTCTTACAGTTATAAGACTGGGGTCCCTGTTTCCTTGCCAGCTGGTTGGATGGGGTGGGGGAGAGGCTCAGATGCTGGTCCCAATTCCTAGTGCCCAGGAGCATATTTTTTGCCATGCTGCCCCTCCATTTTCAAAGCCAGCATGGAGAACACCCTTCACACTGACTCCTTCTCACATTTTTAATCTCTTTGCTCAGGAAGAACTTTATCCTTTTTAAGATTCACTTGATTTATGGCAGTCCAATCTAGGGTAATCTCCTTGCCTTAAGGTCAACTAGTAGAGCCCTTAATACATTTGCAAAATC